TTACATGTTTCTTTTATCAAAACACACTCTTACTCTGATATGTGAGTTTTTATCCCAATTCTGTTAAAGTCACTGTCTTTGTAGTGTAAAGTTGGGAAGTCAGAGGAGAAGATCAGGAGCTTATCTCTTCGAATCGAACCGGACGGGTAATTTTTTCCTATATTATTCTCCATAATTTGTTCTTTTCAACTTGTTACATCTTATTTTTATTTCCACTGCTTTTGTGGTTATGCATTCATTACCAACTATAGGAGGGCAGCAGTTTGGACCTGCTCTCGAGCTAAATGTAATTGGAAAGGCACTACCCAAGTAAGTTTCATGATTAAATTTTGCTAAAAAGTTGGACCATTGATGCTATTTCCATCAAGTCGTGCGCTACTTTGCTTTCAGCCATTTGCAAATGTGACATCGAATTATGCGAAAGTGGATGCAATCGAGAGAGTAAAACAACCACTTCGAATAATCACAGAGGAGATCTTGGAACTTGAACCTTTGTGTGATGAGGTATTTGTTACCATGTAGACAATCAAAAGTTGGTTCTTCTGATTGATAACACAAACAACAGATATGTCAAACGTATTTGTTGTCGACTATATTTTCTATTTTAACTCTAAAAAGTTTTCAAAGTCCCATGTTGACATTCACCAACCTAGATGTTTTTTTTAACTGTTGTGTTTTCTTCGTAGCTACTTGCATATTTTGCCGAGCGGAGGATATCTGTAGAAACACTACAAAGAAATTGTGTCATGCAGAAAAGAAGTGGAGATAAGGTGAATAGATCTTATATTTTCATGATGCTACACAATATATACAATTTTATGTGCTATTTGGAATAAAAGTACTCATGAGTTGTGCCTACTGCTATGGCTGTTGCAACAATGTTATGTAATAATAATATCAGTTCTGACGGACTAGTTTTTTTTTATTATTATTTATTTATTTATTTAAAAGAAAAATGATCAATGGTGCTTCTCATGATGATACTATTAGCAGGTTGATATTGCTTTCACTTACCGGAGGAATGGAGAGCTCGTAAGCTGCAAGTATCGTACTATTACCAAAACGTTTTGGCAGGTACATGCAATTATGATGCTTGTTCATGGCTGAGTTTTGGGCATTTCATCCTTTTGCATCGAAGGTATACTCCCATGTAGAAGTAGAATTTGCAACAAATTTGTCTCGACTGGTAAATGTTATGTGATTCTTTATTGGTTATGCAGGAACCCAATACTGAAAAAATCTTTTATGGGCTGGACGATATAAAGGAAGAAAGTAATATCATCATTGTAATCATTTTGCTCTTTGGCTCGCTACATGAAATTTTACTAAGGAACAAACTTATATTATGTTCATCTTTTTCTAAGGTTGATGGTGAAATGAACAAGCTTTCAATGGAAGAAGCTGGCTTCAGAAACTGTGTGAGTGTCCCATTTGGTGCGCCTTCGAAAGTCTCGAATAAGGCTTTACCCTCTGAAGATGAGGTACTGAGTGTTTATCCTTATCTTAATATTTTAGATTCGGTTTTTTCAATGTACTCGCCATAAGAAATCATAATTCATTGATCAATTTTTGTTATAGTTCATATTTGTTGTAAAAGTATGTATGTTCTTATATGTTTTTTTTCTTATAACCATAGATCTATTTATCAGGACAAAGGGTATCGATATCTATGGAACTGCCAAGACTATATGAAAAAGGTACAATATGTCATTTTTTTTTTCATAATGTTCTTATTTATTAAATTATGAAGGCAAATAGACCAAAGTGTTGCATTCTAATTTCTTGGTGCTTTTAAGGCAACTCGCATTATTCTTGCCATGGATAATGACCACCCTCCTGGTCGAGCCTTAGCCGAAGAACTCGCACGGTGCTTGGGAAGAGAAAGGTTTTATTTTATTTTTCTATGTCCATACCTATAATCATGTGCATCACAAATAAAGCATAAGGTTTCTATTAAGAACTAAACAACTTTCATTGATTGAATACAGGTGTTGGAGTGTCAAATGGCCTAAAAAGGATGACACGGCAAGTTTCAAAGATGTAAATGAGGTCCGATAACCATTTTTGAACTTCTCATTATCCAAGAAAGTTGTAGGATTCAGTTGATTTTGGTATCTCTGTAGTTGTGCACTGTTTAAATTGCTGGACTTGGATCTGCCTTTTTGTTCAATGCATTCGTTTTCTTATCGTTAGAACTTGTTGAATATCCCTACATATTGATTATTATTATATTCGACACTTCTAATGAAGGTGCTTATGCATATGGGTCCTGATGCACTGAGGGATGTCATTGAAGCTGCTGAGCTTTATCCAATACTTCAAGACCCTAACCGTCCTTTAAACAACTATTTAGCAAATGTAAGTGAACACAAGCTACCCAAGTAAGCTTTTTTTTTTGCTAAAAGCTGGACTATTGATGCTATTTTCATTCAGTCGTGCTACTTTTTTTATTTTTCAGGCAGTTGCAGATGTGGCCTCGACTTATGCAAAAGCGAATTCATTGTTACCTAGAATAATCACAGAGGAGAGTTTGGAACTAGAACCTTTGTGTACTGAGGTATTTATTGCTATGTAGACCATTTTTTTTTTTTTGTCTACCTAAGATATTACATCTCAACTACATTTTCTGTTTAATAAAAAGTTATTGGAAAATCCATGTTGCATTCGCCGACTTATATGTTTCTTTTAACCGTGTGTTTTTCTTCGTAGCTACTTGCATATTTTGCTGACCGGATGATATCTGGAGAAACACTACGAAGAAATTGTGTCATGCAGAAAAGAAATGGAGATAAGGTGAATGGATCTTTATTGTTTTCATGACGCTGGGGACTGTCTCAATAGGAAAATCATGTTACATGGTTACGTTAAACTGTTTAATGTGCCTTCACTATTTGGAATAAAATTACTATGATTTTTTTGGCAGATTGCTATTGCTTTCACTTACCGGAGGAATGGAGAGCTCATAAGCTGCAAGTATTGTGGTTTAACTAAAAGATTTTGGCAGGTACATGAAGTTCATGATTTTCATGCATGGCTGAGTTTTGGCCATTTCATCCTTTTACATCTAAGTTATTATTTCATGTAGAAGTAAAAATTTGTGACAAACTTGTCTTTGACTGGTAAGGGCGTGCTTGGATACAAATATATCCGCTCAAAACGAGTTTTCGTGGTTAATTTGAAAAATGTGGTATGGTTTGCTGTTAGTTGGATTTTAAGTTTATATTAAAATAATATTTAAAATAAAATAATTAAAGTTGATTTGATTTAAAAGTAGGAGATAGATGATATGAAGTGATGATTAAAATTATGTGAGTGGATGAATAGTGAATTAAAGTTGATGTGATGTGTAAGAATGATTGATTGATATTATTTAATTATATTGATAATATTGAGGATAGTGGGTTGGGTTAAAATTGAGTTAAATTTGAGTTTTGATTGCAATCAGACCCTTAAAGTTCTGCTGGTTATTATGCAGGAATCCAATACTGAAAAAATCTTTTATGGGCTGGATGATATAAAGGAAGCAAGTGATATCATCATTGTAATTGCTGCTCTTTGGCTCGCTACATGAAATTTAACTATCGTGACTTGGAAATCCTTATATTTTGTTCGTCTTTTCTAAGGTTGAAGGTGAAATGGACAAACTTTCAATGGAAGAAGCTGGATTCAAAAACTGTGTGAGTGTCCCAGACGGTGCTCCTTCAAAAGTCTCGAACAAGGGTCTGCCCTCCAAAGAAGCGGTACTGTTTATCCTTATTTTAAAACTTGAGATTCTTTTATTTTTCAAAACTCACCTTAAGAGATTAGATGGCTTTGATTAATTTCTGTTATAGTTCATATTTGTTGTAAACGTATGCTTGGTCTTAGATGTTGTTCTATAACCGTACGTAATTCTATTTCAATAGCAGGTATTCTTGTTTTTGCTGAATAAACCAAGTTTGTGGCTCATGTAATATCTGAGTGTTCCTAATTCTCTTTGTATGTCTTTTTGGAGCTAGGACAAAAGGTATCGATATCTATGGAACTGCAAACACTATATGGAAAAGGTACATTATGTCATTTTTATTCCGTGTTGTAATTTTTATTTTTATGTTATGTAGGCAAGTAGATTATAGTGATGCATTTTTAATTTCTTGATGTTTTTAAGGCATCTCGGATTATTCTTGCCACGGATAATGACCATCCTGGTCGAGCCTTAGCCGAAGAACTCGCACGGCGCTTGGGGAAAGAAAGGTTTTTATTTATTTATTTATTTATTTATTTATTATTATTATTATTATTATTATTATTATGTCCATGCCTATAACCATGTGCATCGTAAATAAAGCATAAGGTTTCTATTAAGAACTAAAATTTCATTGATTGAATACAGGTGTTGGAGTGTTAAATGGCCTAAAAAGGATGAGATGACAAGTTTCAAAGATGCAAATGAGGTCCGATAACCATTTTTGAACTTCTTATTGTCCGAGAAAGTTGTAGTATTCATGCATCTATGGCCCGACTATTTTCTTTGTTCGAACTTCTTGAATATCCCTACATATTAATATATTTGTATTCTATACTTGTAATAAAAGGTGCTTATGCATATGGGTCCTGATGCATTGAGGGATGTCATTGAAGCTGCTGAGCTTTACCCAATAAGAGGTCTGTTCAACTTCAAAGATTACCGTGATGAGATTGATGATTACTCTCATCCGTCACTTTGTTATGAGCTTGGTGCCACGGTGGAGAATCAGTTTGTAGATGAAGAACATCTTATCATATTACGGCAAAAGTTGCAGGAGATTGGATTTGACCCCAAACCTTGTTTGCCAGGGAAGTACAATAGCTTGATTTGTCCAAGAGTATGTGGTTCCTCATTCATTTTTCACCTTTTCTTTCTAGCTTGGGTTGCGTTGTTGGCATTAATTAACGAAGCAAATTGTTATGTTCTTTTGCTCTGGCTTTTGTGGTATGAGTAGAGCTGCAAACGAGACGAGCCGAGTCCACCATTGGCCTTATCTTTTTTTTTTTAGCTGCTCGAGCTCGACTCGATAAAAAAGTACAATCGCTCGAGCTAGGCTCGAGCTCAACTCGAAATCAAAATGCTCGAGTTCGGCTCGAAAATTTTTAAGTGGAAAAATAAAATTACCATTAAGCACATATGTTATACTATTGTAATATATAGAAGGGGTATTTTAGTAATTCAACATATATCTCGAGCCGCTCGACAATGCAAAATATGGGCTCGAGCTAGACTCGAGTTCGTGCTCGAACCTTTCAAGCTCGAGTCGAGCTTTGACTCGAGTTGAGTTCGTTTGCAGCCCTAAGTATGAGTTAACGGCTTTTGTAGTATGTGTGAACACTTGATTATTGCTGAAATTGGCTTTTGATGAGTAACTTAATATGTTGATTTCAGATCGTAGAAATTGTATAAGCAGATTTTTCCCATTTTATTTTATTTCTTCATTTTATTTTCAAAACATATTCTTACTTTGATACGTGATTTTATTCCCATTTTGTTAAAGTCACGGGCGTCTTTTGGCTTTGTAGTGTAAGGGTGGGAAAAAAGAGGAGAAGAGCTTATCTCTTCGTATTGAACCAGACGGGTAAGTCCTATTTTTTTTTCTCCATAATTTGTTGTCAATTTTTCTGTTACGTCTTAATTTTATTTTCATTGCCAATGCTGTAGGAGGGCAGCTTGGAACTGCTTTCGAGGTAAATGTAGGTGGAATGGCGCAACCCGAGTAAGTTTTCTGATTAAATTTTTCTAAAGTCTAAAAGTTGGACTATCGATGCTATTTTCATTTGTCGTGCTACTTTAAAGTTTCAGGCATTTGCAGGTGTATAATCATCGACTTATGCAAAAATGAATGAAATCACGAAATTAAAGCAACCATCGACTTATGCAAAAATGAATGAGACGACAAGTTTCAAAGATGCAAATGAGGTCCGATAACCATTTTTGAACTTCTTTTTGTCCGAGAAAGCTGTAGCATTCATGCATCTATGGCCCGACTTTTTTCTTCATTCGAACTTCTTGAATATCCCTACATATTAATATATTGGTATTCGATACTTGTAATAAAGGTGCTTATGTATATGGGTCCTGAATGCTGATGCATTAAGGGATATCATTGAAGCTGCTGAGCTTTACCTCCTCTCTTTTTCTACTTTGGAGCGATACGGAAAAAATCGAGTAATCTGTTCCTTTATCCAAGAAAAAGTCTTTCTAGTTTGCATGGTCTGATCATTGATTCGAAAATTTCTACAATAAAATTGTGGTCGAACATTTGCATATTGATGGTAAATGTTTTCAATTAATTAAACTGGGCTTTAAACATGTCGCGTATGTTATAATGTGAGTCATGTATTTTTGCCAAATGAATGTGATAATATTCATGTGAGATACATTGTAAATTTATCATGCATTGTAATAACATGATTAGATTTTATAATTATAAAATTATTTTGAGTATTTATTTAAAAGTGACATGACACTCCTTTGACTTTTTTGGACAAACATAATCGTTTGTCATAGTTGATTTAATTAATTTATTTTTTTATATTATTATTATTATTTGCATCGAAAACTAGGTAATTTATTTATTTATTCTAGTCTTTAGGGGATGCTTATACAAATTTATTTAAAAAATTCAATCATTTTTAATCAATCACTCATTTTAATTCAATTTTAATTTAACCTTACTATCCTCAATATTATTAATATAATTAAATAATATCAATCAATCATTCTTGCATGTTAGAGCAATTCCAACAAAGGTATAATGCCATAATTATGCTTGGCTTTATTGGTGGAGAAGGTGTAAAATTTTACACCGTTTCTTCTGTATTCAACGGTAAAAAAAAATGGGGCCNTTAACTTAGTAAAAGTGGGATATTGATGGTGGGGTAGTTGTAGGTCCAAGATTATTTGGGTAGTGAGTGTAAAGTTGTTGGAGGAAAAAATGTAAAAAAAAAAAAGATTGATAGTGGAATGCTGACGTGACATTAAAAGGTGGTAAAATGTTGGTTGATTGGTGAGACCTTTATATCAACCTTAATTTACTATTTATCCACTCACAATGTTTTAATTAATCATCACTTCATATTATCTCTCTCATACTTTTACGTCAAATCAACTTTAATTATTTTATTTTAAATATTATTTTAATATCAACTCAAAATTCAACTAACAATTAACCATACCACTTTTTTCAAAATTAACCATACCAAACCAAAAATATCAAATCAAAACAAAAAAAATTATATCCAAGCATACCCTTGCTTGATGGACAAGTTATTTACTTAGGGTTTTAGGAGTTCTATTTAAAACTCATATTCTATTATTTTGAGAGAGTTGAGTTTTAATTGAAATAAAAATATACTGAGAGTTTTTTCTTGATTCTCTCAATCATTTACCCTTCCGTTACGTCAATTGGTATCAGCAGACTAGTACGATTCCTACACAATATTGCCCAAACAAAACGATGTTGTGGATGATAAGCGCAACGCTGCGATCGAGGCGTTGGGACGCCAATTCGCGGATCTGACCGCGGGGATCGAGGACATGAGGCTGGCGCTACATGTTGTTGTAACCGACAACCATACGAATCGTGCGCTGGACGGAGTACGTGGCGGCTGCTTAGGGGGTTCGCGGTGGACGCCGTCGGGGTACTCGCGGGGTGCCTCGCTCCCAATCGCCTCTGTTGTTCTTCAGTGACGATGATCTTAAACCTGCCGCTTTAGGCATTTTGAATTAATATAAAGTGAAATTTTTCTACGGTTGCTCATTCGATCAAACCGAAACGAACCGATCGAAGTTTCAGTTAATCGAAAATTAGGTTTATCATAACCGAAAATCAAACTGAAATTGATGGTTCGGTTCAATTTTTAACAGAAAATCCAGTGGTCGTTTGGTTGTCTTTTAATCGCAACAAATAGTTAATCTTCTCAATAAATTTTGAATTAATTAAACCAAAATTTTAATTCTTTTATCTAAATAAAAAAATTATTTTTTTTCTATCACATTGTTTAATCTTCTCAATTAATTATGAATTCTCTTCTAAGGAAGATCTCAGACCCGAAACATGACTTGAACTATGATGAAGTCAATATTGAGTGCAAATCAATGCTTGAGCCATTTTTGGGGTCATTGAAGCTCGAAATCATTGAAGAAAAATAATGCTTTTATAACATTTATGTAATATATATATATATATATATATATATATATATATAGGGGTTGGTTCAAATAAAAATTTGTCCTGGTGTGAGAACCGTGAGAACCATTTTTTATGCCATTTTTAGTTGTGTATGATGCTATTTTTCATATAAGATGATGCTATCATTTTTACAAGTGCTACCAGAAATTGTGTTACTATTTTTAATAAAATTTATCCAAGTTAAAAATAGCATCAAACACAATCAATCATAGCACTACACCCAAATAAAAATAGCGGTTCTCACAGTTCTCACACTAAGACTTGGTTTTCTTTTGAACTACATCCTATATATATATATATATATATATATATAAATCGATTTTCAGTTCAGTTCGATTAACCGATCACTATTATCTAAATCGAAATGAAAATCAAAATTTTAAGAAAATGTAAATCGAAAATTGAACCAATTTTTTTATTTTAGTTTCGGTCGGTTTGTCTTGATCAACCGAAGTTTGTGCATCACTAGATTCTCCTATCATAATAATCTTCAAAATAAAAGATACATAAAATCACAAAAAAGGAAAATGAAACAAATATAATGTTTAGTAAAACTAGCAATTTAAAGTATGACTTGCACAATAATAGGAATTAATTTATTAAAATGAGTTGTATTTAATATTTAGCTAATGATATAGGAGATTTTTCGTTTGTCATATGTAGAGCTATGTAAACGAAGTTAGAACTCTTTAACACTCAATTTAAGTTTGACTCTTAACGAGTTTCATCGAATTGAATTATACAAAAAATTTAAAAAGAAATTGTGATAAAATCTTTAATTTTCAAGTTTAACAAGCAAAACTCAAGTCGTTAACTAAATAAAACGAAACGAGTTGAACTCTGACAAGCCAACCTCTTTACTATTTCTATTTTGTTTAACTTCGATGATAAAAAAATAAAAAAACAATAAAACATAATGGAATATAGCCGGGCACATTACTTCTCCTTCCCTCCCTCCCTAAAACCCTTTTTCTTCTCTTCATGGAATTTCGAAGCCCTCTTTTTCTTCCCACTCTCCAGTAAAAAATCCAGAAAAAAAAAAAATAAAAATTGAGAGAGAGTAGCCATGCTTCTTTCACCGAAACTGAAACTATTCCTGAACCCTTACTCAAATTGTAGCAGAGCTATTTCCATGGCCTCCAAGGATTTTCTGCTACTCAAGACCTCCCCAGCTCCCGCTGCCCACGCGCGCGTGCTTCCGCTCTATTCTTGTTCGCAGGCGCGCTATTTTCACTCCAATAGCAGGAAAAATGTCTCGTTTTTCTCTAATACGAGACACTTGCCAGCAATTTATCAGAAGGCCTATGGATACAGTTACAGTCCATGTGCGGCCATGCCCATTTCTAGACCTAGTATGTGTTCTATTTCTTAGTTTCTTTTGGCGTATAGAAGATTCGCGTGCGATATATTGAAATGCAGAGTTAAAGTTAGAATCTTTGAGAAACCTTGAAAATTACATGAGTAGCATTTGCATTGCCGTATGAATGTAATAATTTGGGTTGAATGTGTAGTATCCGGTGCCGGTGTAGAGACCGTGGGGAATCAGTTTGTAGATGAACAACAGCTTATCATATTACGGCAAAAGTTGCACGAGATTGGATTTGACCCCAAACCTTGTTTGCCAGGGCAGTACCATAGCTTGATGTGTCCAAGAGTATGTGGTTTCTCATTCATTTTTCACCTTTTCTTTCTAACTTGAGTTGCATTATTGACATTAATTAACGAAGCAAATTGTTACTTTCTTTTGCTCTGGCTTTTGTGGTTTGAGTTAACGGCTTTTTTAGTATGTGTGAACACTTAATTATTGCTGAAATTGGTTTTTAATGAGTAACTTCATATGTGGATTCAGATGGTAGAAATTGTATAAGCAGATTTTTCCCTTTTTTCTTCATTTTATTTCAAAACATATTCGTACTTTGATATTTGATTTTATTCCCATTCTGTTAAAGTCACGGGCATCATTGGCTTTGTAGTGTAAGGGTGGGGATTCAGAGGAGAAGAGCTTATCTCTTTTTATTGAACCGGACGGGTAATTCCTATAATTTTTTCTCCATAATTTGTTTGTCAATTTTTCTGTTATGTCTTAATTTTGTTTTCATTGCCTTTGTGGTTATGCATTGCCAATGCTGTAGGAGGGCAGCAGTTTGGTACTGCTTTCGAGGTAAATGTGGGTGGACTGGCGCAACCCGAGTAAGTTTCCATATTAAATTTTACTAAAGTCTAAAAGTTGGACTATCGATGCTATTTTCATTTGTCGTGCTACTTTGGTTTCAGGCATATGCAGGTGTATCATCGACTTATGCAAAAATGAATGAAACCACGAAAGTCAAGCAACCACCTAGAAAAATCACCGAGGAGAGTTTGGAACTAGGACCGTTGTGTAAAGAGGTATTTGTTGCTACTAGACCATCAAAGGCTATTTTTCTGATTAATCATTAGAAAACAACTACGGAGAACATATTTTTCTGGTCTGGCTGGGAAATTACACTTCGACTAGATTTTTCTGTTGGACTCTAAAAGGTTTCTTCAATTGTTTTGTTTTCCTTTTAGCTACTTCAATATTTTGCTGAGCGGTTGATATCTGGAGAAACATTACGAAGAAATGGTGTCATGCAGAAAAAAAGTGGAGAACATGTGAGTGGATCGCTCATGATGGTGCACATTTGTATATAATTTTATGTACTATAATGGGGACTGTCTTGATAGTAAAATAATGTTAAATGTTGACATTAACTGTGTAATATGCCTTCAATATTTTGAAAAAAATGTAGCAGTTGAGTATGCTGGAGTAGTTTCTCATGATAAATTTTTCGGCAGATTGCTATTGCATTTACTTACCGGAGGAATGGAGAGCTTGTAAGCTGCAAGTATCGTGATATCACCAAAAAATTTTGGCAGGTACATTCAAGTCATAATTTTTGTTCATGGCTGAGTTTTGGGAAATTCATCCTTTTTTTGAATTTAAGTTATTCTCTCTTGTAGAAGTAAAATTTGCAACAAAGCTTGTATTTGACGTGTATATGTTATTTGATGATTTATCACTGTGGATTCTTATTGTTCTGCTGGTGATGCAGGAAGCCAATACTGAAAGAATCTTTTATGGACTTGATGACATAAAGCAATCAAGTGATATCATCATTGTAATTACCGCTCCTCGGCTTGCTTCATTAAATTATACTATCGTGACTTGGAACAACTTATATTCTGTTCGTTCTTTCTAGGTTGAAGGTGAAATTGACAAACTTTCAATGGAAGAAGCTGGCTTCAGAAACTGTGTGAGTGTCCCTGATGGTGCTCCTTCAAAAGTTTCGAATAAGGGATTACCCTCCGAAGATGAGGTACTGTTTATTCTTATCTTAATATTTGAGATCCTGTCTTTATATATATTAATTTTTTAATGAACTCTCATTTAGATATCAGATGCCTTTGATTAATTTCTTGTTAATGTATATATTTGCTTTAAAAGTATCCCTCTTTGATGTTTTTCTATATCCATATCAGTTTTTTTTTGGTGCTGAATAATAATGTTAACCGAGCTTGTGATTCTTGTCATGTTGTTTCTATCTTCTCTTAATAGGATTTTTTGCTCGTGTTCAATCATTAACCTTCGAGAATGTTGTGCTACACTTTGTAATAAGTAATAACTGCCGTGCATAATAATTTTCCCCCCATAATAAAATAATTTTCCCCCCGTTATAAAATAATAAGTAATAACTGCCGTGCCAGAACCGTGACTTTTGCTCTTTTCTCTTTTTGTTTCAACCTCTTCCTTTTGTTTCGAGCCCTTTTTGTGTTTCTCTTACAATTGTTTCTCTTGGGTTTCATCTCTAGCCTACCCCGACTTGCTTGGGACTAAAGGCTATGTTGTTGTTGTTGTTGTTGTTGTATAGTAGTTGAGCAGAAAGAGTCATCATCATGTTATTCAATATTGTATTTCTTGGTAAGGCACGTATCCGAGTTTTCCTAACTCTTGGTACTTTTTTTTAAGCTAGGACACCAAGTATCAATTTCTATGGAACTGCAAAGAGTATACAGATAAGGTATGATATGTCGATCTTTTTTTATATTGTAATTATACTTTTCATTGCGAAGGCAAATGGATCAAAGTGATGCATTTTAATTTCTTGGATGTTTTTAAGGCATCTCGCATTATTCTTGCGACGGATGATGACTCACCTGGTCAAGCCTTAGCTGAAGAAATTGCAAGGCGCTTGGGGAAAGAAAGGTTTTTTTTTTGCCCACATATTTAATCACGTGTGTTATAAGGTTTCTATTTAAGAACTCAACAACTCTGCTTTCATTGGTTGAATTCAGGTGTTGGAAGGTGAAATGGCCTCAAAAGAATGACACTGAATGTTTCAAAGATGCAAATGAGGTCTGATAACCATTTTTTACTTCTTTTGGTTGATTTTTGTAGCTATGTAGTTGTGAACTGTTTAAATTGTTGGAGTTTAGTGGATCTGCCCCTTTTTGTTTAATTGCATTATTCTGTTAGATCATTGTGAATTTTCATACATATTAATATATTTTTATTCGAAACTTGTAATTTAAAGGTGCTTATGTATATGGGTGCTGATGCATTAAGGGGTGTCATTGAAGCTGCTGAGCCTTACCCAATAAGAGGTCTGTTCAATTTCAAAGATTACTATGCTGAGATTGATGATTACTATCATATGTCACTCGGTTATGAGCTTGGTGTCTCGACTGGATGGAGAGATCTCAATGACTTGTATAATGTAAGTATTATTTTTGACGTGTCAGTTCTGTAAACGACACTCACAATCGAAATTTATAATGTTAATGTAAGCTCTTTGAAATCTGAGTATAGAAAATTTATGAGAAGCATTATACACGAATGAAGCAGTTGCCATTGTTGATAAGCCATAAATTACAGTCTATTTCAGTTGATAAAAAAATGAAGTTCAGGTACTAAAATTGGTCAATCGAAAGCAAATTCTGGTGATATCTCATTCATTTTTTTATACTGTTTGGTATTTGATACAGGTTGTGCCCGGAGAATTGACAATCGTGACAGGAATTCCAAATTCAGGCAAGAGTGAGTGGATTGATGCTCTATTATGCAATCTGAACCATAGTGTTGGTTGGAAATTCGCACTTTGCTCAATGGAAAACAGGGTAATTTTTTGTTCTCCTAAATACTTACGTGCAGAAATTTTGTGCTACAAGTTAATATGGTGAAATGGAATCATGTCTGACATAGAACCTAAATGCTGAAATTTGTTTGTTAAAGTTTTTAATATCCGATTCTTGAAAAGTTTTACCTTTTTCGTCAGCTTCTGTTATTTTTCGTTCGTCACTTTTCCTCTAATTGTTGTGTTATTATTACAATTACAGCTCAATATATTACGCAATTTGAATTCCTTTGAAATGACATGATGAAGTTTCTAGAATGTAATCTTGGGTACGAATGCTAACAAACCAATAGTTGTGGTTTCATAATCATTCAAATTTTCTGTCTTAGCATGTTAATATAACCTTTTTTAATCTTTGAAGTTTGATGCGAAGAGCTTTTATTATCTGTGTACATATAACTTTGTTATAAGTTTTGCACGATGTTCATATTTCTTTTCAGGTACGAGAACATGCAAGGAAACTTCTAGAGAAACATATAAGGAAGCCTTTCTTTGATATTAGGTATGCATTTGGTGAGATTTGTTTATGAAAATTTATGATCCTCGATTTTCAGTTTATCGAGGTTAATTTTATTGATTGTTTAACTGTGATGTTGCCAATGCAAACAGATATGGGCAGCATATTGAGAGGATGAGCGTTGAGGAGTTGGAACTAGGAAAAAAATGGCTCAGCGATTCATTTTCCCTTATAAGGTTACATATATCCTATATATGCTTATAATATGTTAAAACACATGACCTTTCTCGAAGAAATTTTACTGCAGCTCCTATATTTGTCCTTTTTATGCACGTTTTCTAAGATATTGTAGCGCCCCCAAATTTACTACTAAAAATTTTTACGTCTTTGGCACACTTTAAGTAAAAAAAGAAAAAGAACTATTCAAAAGATGGCACCACAAAAATATTCTCCTAAACAAGCAGCACAACTCATCTTTATAACTCAACTGAATTTATTATTAGTGATAATATCATGATGATTTTACTATTAATGATAATAATTAATAATTATAACAACTATTTTAATTAAAATATATGAAAAGGATGTTTTGAAAACCGGGGCGCTACAGATATAGTGTTTGGCACGTGAGGTTAATCCCTTTTTCACTGCACTTTACAAAACAGGTGCGAGAATGATTGCCTTCCGAGTACAGATTGGGTTCTTAATCTCGCAAAAATTGCAGTTCTCCGGCATGGAGTTAATGGACTTGTGATTGACCCGTATAACGAACTTGACCATCAACGCCCTCATAACCAGTGAGTTGATTTTGTTTTTCTAGATTCGTAAAATGCATACGTGTATATTTATAGTATAATTGTAGAACACTTGCATGATGCAAAGCGACCGTTTTTTATTATTTGGTCTGCAGATGGCTATATAGAGTTGGTTTATTATATTATGATTCTATTTTCTTGTCACGTAAGGGTAGTGCTTGGATATATAAGTTGTGATTGGATTTTCCCAGTCAAATTTAACTCAACCCAACTCTGCTCAATGTTATCATATTGAAATAATATGATTAAATAATACCAATCAATCATCCTCACAAATTAACTTTAATTCACTGTTCATCTACACACATAATTTTAACTACCCATCACTACCAGTCACCTCTCTCCTACTTTTATTGTTTACATCAAATCAACTTTAATTTTTTTCTTTTAAATAATATTTTAATACAAAATCAAAATCCCACTCAAACTTAACCCAACCAAATTTTTTAAAATTAACTTTGGTTAAAAAAAAAAAAACCCAATCAAACTTCAACCCAACCTTTATATCCAAGGACACCCTTATTAGAAGCTCAATAAATCTTACCGTATTCTGTTATAAATTAAATCGAAAACAGGACTGAAACAGAATACGTGAGTCAAATGCTGACGAAAGTCAAACGGTTTGCACAACATCACTCGTGTCACGTTTGGTTCGTGGCTCATCCGAGACAGGTTGGAAAATGGCAACGCTTTAGTTTATTATTTATGCTCCTAATTATATTCTTGTAATAAATTATAAAAACACTTTACGTCATTTGTTTTTTCAAGTTGCATAATTGGGTTGGTGGGCCTCCGAATATGTACGACATTAGTGGGAGTGCGCATTTCATTAACAAATGTGACAACGGTATTGTTATCCACCGTAACAGAGATCCAGAAGCTGGTCCAGTCGACTTAGTTCAGGTAATTGTGCCATTTTTCTCGAGACTTAATTAAAAAAATGCTACTAAATGTTAGGCACAAAATTTTTTCATTATTTAACGATTGTTTGTTTGTTTTTGTTAAGGTTTGTGTGAGGAAAGTGCGTAATAAAGTCATAGGAACAATTGGGGATGCCTATCTAACGTATAATAGGTAAACATCCTTCTTTTATGCATTATATAGAGAATAGTTAATCGATCGGTTGCTTGTGCATTTTCGTGGTATATAAAGAATAGTTGATTATGGTCAAATGTGATGGCCTTAGTACTTGTAAAATGATTAAAGATTCGGTTAGGAAAATGTGAGAAAATTTTACGTTTGTTTGCGATGCTCGATTTTGTGATATGATTTAGCAATATGTTGGTATGTTATTCAGGGTCACTGGTGAGTACGGGGACATTGATAAGTCATCCCAAAATGAGAAGCGCAGATAAATAGCATATCCATCCTGGACTATTATTCACATGGTTTCATGTCATTCTAATGTATGTGAAAATTAGGTTGTTTCGTTTATTGGCCCTTAAAAAAAAAAAATTAAAAAATGTTTTTTAATCTTATTCCGCACATTTTCTCTTTTTGGTAACTAAAATTAGACTCATTGTAACTAGTAAAACAATATCATAATAATCTTATAAACTATTAATATTACTTTCTATATTCAGATAACTGAATAAAATAAATCAACATCTGGCTTAATTAGGGGGTGACTGGCGATAATTGGCTGATTGTTTATTCTTTTCTCTTTAATTCATAATTCAATTCAATCATCTTCAATATTTTCAATATAATTGAATAATATGAATCAACCATTCCAATATCATATCAATTTTAATTCACTATTAATTTAATTATATAATTTAAATTATCTATCATTTTCAATAACTTTTCTTTTACTTCTAATTAAATTAATTTTAATCATTATATTTTATATATTATTTCATACAAATTCAAAATTTCATTCAATTCTTTATTCATTAACTTTATTAACTCACTTTGAACTCTCCATTTGATTTTCAATTCATATATTGGATCCAATTCTGAATAATCATGACGATCCAAGTACAACCCAAAACTTCAAGAACTTAAATTGGGTTGATTATAGGGTACCAAAAATAAGAAATAAAGAAAAAAAGTATCAAATCGCATAGATTCATTCAAAAAATAAATTAATTAAAAAAAATAATTGCGGTAAAATTAAAAGCATAAAATACAGTAATAAATAAATATATAAAACATGTATATGCCAACCTATCAATTCCCGTTGGTGGAAATTGGAATCAATATGGGATAGTCCTACAAAACAAAATTATATGATTTTTAGGTCGGATGTTGTGATAACTGATATATATGAATGTACTATACGTTAAAATATTTTAGGTTTCAAAAGTCGAAAATACACATTTTACCAGCTGCAAATTTTTATTTTCAATATATATATATATATATATAACATGTGGGTAGACTTTCTAGATTGGGTAATTAATTTGACCGAGCCTTCCAGTGTGGAAATGAAAATGTTATTAGTCAAGGAGAAAATGTTAAATATAGTAACGTCTTGAAAGTTCAAATTCAAACATCAATTAACCTCGATTATTAATACTGTAGAGTTCCATGAAAGAAAATCACAGCCCCATTTCCATGCAAGAAACGTTCAAAAGCCAACTTGGGGTGACATAATCACTTTGAAATTTATATGTACGTACAATATATTTAGAATAAAGTTAAAGATATTTCATTTCTTCAAGAATGCAAGGGGAAAAAAAACATTGGGAATATTTTTGGTTTGGAATTATTTTCATCTTGTTTTTTCTAATTTTTTTTTGAGGTTTTGTTTTGCAAAAGAATAAAAATGTTCTGATTTTTTGCAATTGGCCTATGATGTGGCATCCTGATCAGCATTTGGAGAAAAGTTATATAAATAAGGTCAAGTCTTTCAAGAATAGAAAAAACACCTAAAAGAAAAGTAGTAACACACGATTTCATACATGATCAAGTTCACATGAATCCATAAATTAACTTTGGTGCATGCCAAGTCTTCTCAGTTCATAACAAACACTATAAATAGGACACAATCCAACATTGCTCCCTCAAACACAAACTCAATTAGTTGTTATTTGTTAACTAACTCTTCACATCATGAAGACTCCAATAATCCTTTCAACTTTCATATTCATCCTTCTTGCCATCATCTCTTCGTGCTCGTTATCGGCTGCAGCTGATAACGATGATCACGAAGATTTTCTCGAGTGTCTCTCCGAGCGATACCACAACTCGATTTCCAACGTGACATATACCCCAAACAACTCATCCTACGCATCCATTCTCCGATTTTCCATCCAAAACCTTAGATTCACTTCCCAATCGACCCCGAGACCCCAAGTGATCATAACACCCGAACACGAGTCCCAAATCCCGCGCGTCATCCACTGCGCCAGAGAAAATGACATGGAGATCAGAATTCGAAGCGGGGGCCACGATTACGAAGGGTTGTCCTACGTATCCCAAGTCCCATTCGTAATCCTTGACTTAATCAACTTTAGCGAGATAACTGTCGATCCAGAGGCAAAGACTGCATGGGTTGGGTCAGGAGCGACTATTGGCTCCTTGTACTACAGAATTGCCGAACGTAGCCCGGTTCTCGGGTTTCCCGCTGGCGTTTGCCCGACCGTTGGTGTCGGCGGGCATTTCAGCGGAGGCGGATACGGAACAATGCTCCGTAAATACGGCCTCGCGGCCGACAACGTGATCGACGCGAGAATAGCCGACGCCAGCGGTAGAATTCTCGACCGGCGATCGATGGGCGAGGAACTTTTCTGGGCCATCCGGGGCGGAGGAGGCTCCAGTTTCGGCGTGATACTTGCGTGGCAAGTAAAACTCGTCGAAGTCCCCGAACGAGTCACCGTCTTCACGGTCACCCGTACTCTGGAGCAGAACGCGACTCTGCTCGTCCACCGATGGCAGAGCATTGCCCATACGTTCGACCCAGACTTATTCATAAGGATATTGATCACGAGGGCCAACTCTCCTCAAAACGGCCGAAACTTCACCATTCGCGCTGCATTCAACTCGATTTTCCTTGGCGGAATCGACAGGTTGATTCCGATTATGCAACGAGATTTCCCCGAGCTTGGGCTGACGAGAGAAGACTGCACCGAAATGAGCTGGATCGAGTCTATCCTGTACTTCGCGGGCTTTCCACTAGAATCCCGCGAGGTTTTGCTAAACAGGACTCAACCGCGCGTGAGGTACTTCAAGGCAAAATCGGATTATGTACGGAGGCCCATTCCCGAACGTGGGCTCGAAGGCCTCTGGAGAATATTCTACGAGCCGGAAGGCGAGGATGGAGAAGTAATCCTCAGCCCGTACGGCGGCATAATGGATAATATTTCCGAGTCGGCAATTCCATTTCCTCACCGAGCAGGAAATTTGTACAAAATCCAGCATTTGGCATGGTGGCAAGATAACAATGCTCGAAATTCGGATAGGTACATAAGTTGGATTAGGCGGCTCTATAGCTACATGGCTCCTTACGTGTCGAGTTCGCCAAGGGCCGCTTATATTAACTATAGAGATCTCGATATTGGAGTTAACAACAACGAAGGGAGGATCGATTATGCGCGGGCAAGCGTTTGGGGAAGGAAATATTTCAGGAACAATTTCGACCGGCTTGTTCGGGTGAAAACCGCGGTGGATCCCGACAATTTCTTTAGGAATGAACAGAGTATTCCGTCTCTACACGAAGAGAGAGATGACTGACGAGCTATGTTCAGTTCAGTTCACTTCGGTTCACATGCATAAGTATTTTCTACGTTGTATAAATTTGATTCCATTTGTTGTTGTATTTGGAAGTATTTCCTACGTTGAATAAATCTAAATCCATTTGTTGTTGTTAGGATGTGTGAATCCGTACGTTGTAATAATGATTATAAACATATTGTGCTAATAAAGATTGAATGTTTTGTGATGTTCATTAAATTAAAGAAAAAAAAAAAAAACTCTGTTTGTGTTCTTTTGTTTATTATTCGATAAAAATTTTAAGTCTGGGCCCTTTTATTTATTTGCTCCTCAATATTTGAATTCGTTCGCTTTTCGAATTATTTTATTAAACAAACTTATCGAAATTATTTGATTAACTTGACATCAATTTGTTCGAAATCAATCGAGCTTAAAAATATATTTTAATAAAATAAATTGTACTTCATAATTATTATTTATGATATCATACATATGGATATTAAAGTAAAAATTATATTAAGTTATTATTCACTAACATTATGAAATGTTTGTGAGTGGATTTTATCGAACACGTACGAACAAGCTCAAAATATCTTTTGTTCTCCCAATTCGTTTGTAGCTCTAGTGTACATCTTTGACTTCCCATTATTTGATTAGTTCTTATATATCCGCGAAGATCATAATTACTGAAAAAAAGGTGTAAAGAGGAGGAAATAAGAGGACATAATCTAATGGACAAATCAATAATGATAATTTTCGATAGATGAATTTTAGTAACAGGTAAATTCTGAAAATAAGTCCATAGAGGTATCATAATCATATTAAGTAAATTATGATACATGAATTATCAATGATAGGTAAATTTGTGATGGACAAATTATCAATACTAAGAGACAAATTTCACATACGTATCCAAGTGAATTCAACTGAGTTACATCATGTTCTTCAGTCATCTATCTCTTCATGTAGCGATGGAATACTCTGTTCATTCCTGAAGAAATTGTCTCGATCGACCGCGGTTTTCACGCGAACAAGCCGGTCAAAATTATTCCCGAAATACTTCCTTCCCCAAACACTCGCCCGCTCATAACCGATCCTCCCTTCGTTGCCGTTAACTCCAATATCGAGATCTCTATAGTTAACATACGCGGCCCGAGGCGAACTCGACATGTAAGGAGCCATGTAGCTATAGAGCCGCCTAATCCATCTTAAGTACATGTCCGAATTCCGAGCATTTTCTTCTCGCCAAAACACGTAATCCTGCATTGCGTACATATTCCCGACCCTGTGAGGAAACGGGATTGCCGACTTGGAAATGTTATCCATCATGCCGCCGTACGGGATTAGGACAATCGTGGCCTCCTCGCCTTCGGGCTCGTAGAATAATCTCCACAAGCCCTCGAGCGCGTGCTCGGGAATTGGCCTCCGCACGTAATCCGATTTTACCTTGAGATGCCTCAAATCGGGTTGCGTCCGGTTTAGCAAAACCTCGCGGGATTCTATTGGAAAGCCTGCGAAGTAGAGGATAGACTCGATCCAGCTCATCTCGGCGCAGTCTTCTCTCGCCAACCCTAGCTCAGGGAAATTTTGCTCCATAATCGGGATCAATCTGTCGGCCCCACCGAGGAAAGTCGAGTTGAACGTGACACGGATAGTGAAGTTGTTTCTTCCGTTTCGAGCCGAGTTTCCCCTTGTGATTAGTATCATGACGAATAAATCCGGGTCGATCGTGTGGGCGATGCTTTGCCAGCGGTGCACGAGTCGAGTCGCGTTCTGTTCCAGAGTACGGGTGACCGAGAAGACGGTGACTCGTTCGGGTACTTCAACGAGTTTTACTTGCCACGCAAGTATCACACCGAAACTCGATCCTCCTCCCCCTCGGATGGCCCAGAAAAGATCCTCGCCCATTGACCGCCGGTCGAGAATTCTGCCGTCTGCATCGACTATTCTCGCGTCGATCACGTTGTCGGCCGCGAGGCCGTATTTACGGAGCAACGTTCCATATCCGCCTCCACTGATATGCCCGCCGACGCCGACTGTTGGGCAAATTCCGGCGGGAAACCCGAGAACCGGGCTTCGTTCTGCGATTCGGTAGTATAAGGAGCCGAGAGTCGCGCCCGACCCGACCCATGCAGTCTTTGACTCGGGATCGACTGATATCTCGATAAGGTTGATTAAGTCGAGGATTACGAATGGGACTTGGGATACGTAGGATAAACCTTCGTAATCGTGGCCCCCGCTTCGAATTCTGATCTCCATGTCGTTTTCTTTTGCGCAATGGATGATAGGTGGGACTTGGGAATCGTGCTCGGGTGTTATGATCACTTGGGGTCTCGGGGTCAACTGTGAAGTGAATCTAAGGTTGTGGATGGAAAATTGGAGAATGGATGCGTAGGATGAGTTGTTTGGGGCATAAGTTACATTGGAAATCGAGTTGTTGTATCGTTCGGTGAGACATTCGAGAAAATCTTCGCGATCGTTATCAGTAACGGCTGTTAACGAGCACGAAGAGATGATGAAAACAAGAATGAATATGAAAGTAGAAAGGATTAATGGACTCTTCATGATGATATGAGTTTGTCAAAAGAATGAATTTGCTTTGTGTTTTTTGGGAGCATTAGATCAGATTGTGTTCTATTTATTGTGTTTATAGAAGCTTCTCCAAAAGGAAAGTTGCCATTGAATACTTTATTTCATAATCATTTTCAAATTTGGAGGAAATAATTATACCACAAACTTATACTAAACACGCAAATATACTCTGCGTAGTTAATTCTACATAAGTTAAATTTTTTATCTATGCAGATTGTTTCAAAGTGGATTTGTCATCCCAAGTTGGCGTTTGAACTTTCTTGAATGGAAATGGAGCTTTTGTTTTGTTTTATGGAAGTGTGCAAGACAACTAATTGAGGTTATCTAATCTTCATTCCAAGAGAGGCAATATTTTACATTTTATCCTGGACTAATATACTCCGTATCTGTTATTTCGACACTGAAAACTCGGCCAAATAAAACTATATCATTATTCTCAATTCTAACCAAATAGTAAAATTCAACACCCAGCAGGTTAATAAGCAATTAGATCAAACCTATACTCCATAAATCACAACAATAGAAAATTATAACAAGGTGATAGCCAAAATAAATAAACAAATTATTTTCCATGAGAAAAGTGGAAGCAAAAAGTAACAATTTAGTAGGAAACCAATAATAATAATAAAAAAAGAATGCACCACTTAAGATGCAAAGAAAACCAATTTAATAAGTTCAACACAAATTTTTAATTTCTGAAACAAAGATAACATAAACTCTCAATTCAACAGCTTTAAAATTTGCCATGAGAATTGGATAGTTTCATGTGGGGGCTTGGTTTAATTTTTAATGATTCAAATTGTCGACTAAAATAATAATAATAATGATAATAATAATAATAATAATAATAATAATAATAATAATAATTATTATTATTATTGAGGGCTTGGTTTAATTTTTAATGATTCAAATTGTCGACTAAAATAATAATAATAATAATAACAATAATAATAATTATTATTANGTTTCTTTTGTTAATCTCAGTTTGACTTGTGTTTGTTCCTCAAATTTGTGTGCCTTAATTGAACCGAACGAAATGAACTTAGTATTTCAAGCTCCATTATGTTTGAATACCATTCATGTTGGTTTATTATTCATGTTTGAGTTGTTTTGTATAAATTTTCATCAATTTGTTCATATTATAATAATTTTGTAAACAATTTTATTGAAAATTTTATATTAACACAAGATTAGTTTGTTCGAGTTGTTCGAGTTCGTTCGTGTTCTAATAATTTAGTAAACAAGTTGATTAAAAAATTTATATTAACATAAGATTAGTTTGTTCAAATTGCACGATCTCAAAAATATTTTTTTAATAAAAAGTTTATATTTTAAAGTACATACATATAGTTATAATAAATAAGAAAATAAATCAATTAATTCTCGCGAATTTTATCAACTATCAGCGAATGACGTTTGTGTTCGTTCGATAACAAATGAATCTATTTGTTTTGAAGATCGACTCGATTAATAAATAAAATTACTTTTATCGAACATGAACGATTTCAAACTTCAAACCAACTTTTATTGGCAAACAATCGATGACTTATTCAATTTGAGTTCCTCTACAAGAAAACTGAGTAACGAGAACAAGTGATTGAGTTCATTAGTTCTTCATATCAATTTATTGGCTCTGGAGATAAGTAACATGGAGGAGACTCAAATTATTGACTCTAGAGATATAGTAATATGGAGGAGACATATTTCATTTTTTGTGCAAGAATGCATAACAAATATTCACACGATAAATTACATTGCAATTTTCATCAGTGTCGACTTTCATTTGGAGAAGTTTCTGTACATATTTATCCATATATGGAGGCTTGAATCAACAAGGTAAAAGTCTTTTTTTTTTTTTTTTTAAAAAAAAAAAAAGGTCAAAGACAGGTAGCAAACACTGACCTTAACATAACATCTATAGGTACCAAGTTTTCTCAGTTCATAAACACTATAAATAGGACACAATCTAATGCCCCACAAAACACAAATCAATTCCATTGTTAGACAAACTCACCACATCATGAAGAGTCCAATAATCCTTTCCACTTTCATATCCATTCTTCTTGTGATCACCATCTCTTCGTGCTCGTCAACAGACGATCACGAAGATTTTCTCGAATGTCTCACCGAACGATACCACAACTCGATATCCAACGTGACTTACACTCCAAACAACTCATCCTACACATCCATTCTCCGATTTTCCATCCATAACCTTAGATTCGCTTCCCAATCGACCCCGAGACCCCAAGTAATCATAACTCCCGAGCACGAATCCCAAGTCCCTCTCGTCGTCCACTGCGCCAGAGAAAACGACATGGAGATTAGAATCAGAAGCGGGGGCCACGATTATGAAGGTCTATCCTACGTATCCCAAGTCCCGTTTGTAATCCTCGACTTAATCAACCTTAGTGAGATATCAGTCGATCCCGAGTCAAAAACTGCATGGGTCGGGTCGGGCGCGACTCTCGGCTCCTTATATTACCGAATTGCCGAACGAAGTCTAGTTCTCGGGTTTCCTGCCGGCCTTTGTCCGACAGTCGGTGTCGGCGGGCATCTGAGCGGAGGCGGATACGGAACGTTGCTCCGCAGATACGGCCTCGCGGCCGACAACGTAATCGACGCGAGAATAGTCGACGCAGACGGCAGAATTCTCGACCGGCGGTCGATGGGCGAGGATCTTTTCTGGGCCGTCCGGGGCGGAGGAGGCTCGAGTTTTGGCGTGATACTTGCATGGCAAGTAAAACTCGTCGAAGTCCCCGAACGAGTCACCGTCTTCTCGGTCACCCGAACTCTGGAACAGAACGCGACTCAGCTCGTGCACCGATGGCAGAGCATCGCCCACATGATCGACCCGGATCTATTCGTCATGATACTAATCACGAGGGGAAACTCGGCTCGAAACGGAAGAAATAATAACTTCACTATCCGTGTCACATTCAACTCGACTTTCCTCGGTGGGGCCGATCGGTTGATCTCGATTATGGACCAAAATTTCCCCGAGCTAGGGTTGACCAGAGAAGACTGCGTTGAGATGAGTTGGATAGATTCGGTTCTTTACTTCGCGGGCTCTCCTAACGAACCACGTGAGGTTTTGCTAAACCGGACGCAACCCTTTGTGAGGTATTTCAAGGCAAAATCGGATTTAGTGCAGAGGCCAATCCCCGAGCAAGGGCTCGAGGGCATGTGGAGATTATTCTACGAACCCGAAAGCGAGGAGGCCTTAGTCATCATGGTCCCGTTTGGCGGCGTGATGGATAATATTTCCGAATCGGATATCTCGTTTCCTCACCGCGCCGGGAATATGTACATAATGCAATATTACACGTATTGGCGGGAAGACAATGCTCGGAATTCGGACAGGTACATAAGCTGGATTAGGCGGCTCTATAGCTACATGGCTCCTTACGTATCGAGTTCACCTCGGGCCGCGTATGTTAACTGTAGAGATGTCGATATTGGAGATAACAACAATGAAGGGAGGATCGGTTATGCGCGGGCAAGCATTTGGGGAAGGAAGTATTTCGGGAATAATTTCGACCGGCTTGTTCGGGTGAAAACCGCGGTGGATCGAGACAATTTCTTCAGGAGTGAACAGAGTATACCATCGCTATATGAAGAGATAGATGACTAATGAGCTCTGTTCTGTTCTGTTTTGTTCTGTTCACAGGCATATGTGTTGTTGCTATATACATTTAAGTAAAATTTGATTTTATGTGTTGCTGTATTTGGAGTATATTGTGTAATAGTTAATATTGGATGATTGTGTTTCTCGTCGTAATAATGGTTGTAACCATATTGTGGTAATAAAGATTAATTCGATTGTTTGGTGAAATAGAGGGTTGAATTTGAGTTTAAATCTGAAATTTTGAATGTGGTAGTGTACATGTACAGTATTTACATAATTTTAGTTAGTTATATCATGTCAACTAAATTATAATACTCTAATTTTTTATAGCATTATATTGATAAAATTAACATTATTCCTTACGTACTAAGGAATTATGTAAATTGATTATGATACCAAAATTCTTTGAATAAAATATGAAAATAAAATTGTTTTTTTTTTTTTTTCATATTGTAAGAAATAAATGCAAGTATCAAAACTAAATACATATTAATAAATATATTTCGTCTAAACATACTTGAGGTTGAGGATTTGCAGAAACTGACTTGTCTAGCATAAACAACTCAGTAAATTGGTAATTATAATTATTTGAGAAATAAAATAGTAAATATGTAAATTCGCATATTATAAAATCACGCTTGATAGTAAATAAATTCGCACATCATAAAAATCACGCTTAATAGTAAATAAATTCGCATATCACATTACGAAAGGTAAACTTTTGATTTTTTTCTTTTTTAATTTGAAAAATATTATATTTATCTTATAATTCTTTATCCAACAAATATACATATTAAATAAGATAAATAATGTACTTAACTTTTATTCATTTGAGATTTTGAGTAACATTTTAAAATTCTTAAATTCAAGACTTTTTAAAATTTGTTGATTTTAGTTTATGAGTGAATTTGATTGTGAAATATTACATATATAATTTGTGTTTGAAATTTTAGCAAATATTAAAATGTCATAACAAATATTAGTATCAAATAAGTTAAATATCTCATTACTTTTTAAAAAATTTTAATATCTCAATTCAATAACTAGATACTTTTAAAAATAATAAAAATCACTACAAAAAAATTGTTATATTCCAACGGAAAATCATTTGGTAAAATATTCAAATAAAAATTTCAACGGATATTCTAATAGATAGTTTCCGTTGGAATGATTCTAACGGAAATTCCAACGAAAATATTCTGTTGGAATGTATTTTTCATTGAAATTTTAGATGAATTGATGATTCCAACGGTTATATTTCCAACGGCTTTTGACCGTAGGTATTTCTGTTGGAATATGCAATTTTCATTGAAATTTTTATTTCCACCACCGTTGGAATCGTCAAAATCCAACGGAAATTCCAATGAAAAACTTATTTTAACGGAATATTTTTGTTAGAATTTTCGTTGGAATAATTCCAACAAAAATAATAGCATTGAAATATCTATTGGAATTGCAGTTGAAATTCTATTAGAATATATTTCTGTTGAAATTTCATCATTTTCTTGTAGTGAATTTTAATTCAAATACAAAAAAAAAATAAAAAAATAAAAAAATTAACATCTTAAAAATCCTTAGAAATCTTAAATGTTTACGTCTCAAACTGTTCAAATTGAAAAAAACATGTCCACAATTTTCTAAATCCTAACTTGCACTGTCTTTCTAAGATAAATTACATACACAAATATCTAAATTAATTAATAATTGAATGTTGTATAAAAATGTATATATTTGTAAAA